CTTCCCTTTTATCTCCAAAACTGGCAGAGATAGGTCCATAGTTACTATTGAACTTGAATAGAAAGTCATATACTGGCAATCTAAATGTGACCTTGAAATTGACCTTTGACCTACTTTTCACCATGAACTGAATTTTGCAAATTTTGCTTCCCTTTTATCTCCAAAACTGGCTGAGATAGGTCCATAGTTACTCTTGAACTTGAATAGGAAGTCATATACTGGCAATTTACTGTGACCTTGAAATTGACCCTTGACCTACCTTACGAAGAACTTAAATTTGATTGTACCATATATATTTTTTGCAATAGTTAAAAATTCTTGTTGATTGCATTTTTTCAGCTTGTCAAGCACAAAACTGGTGGCTGTGTCCCTTATTTTGTGTATGTGGGGGTCTATACGAATGCGCTTGCTCCAGCTGGTGGTACAATATTTGGAGGCGGTATCGCCTCTCTGATCCTCTAGTTTGGAGTATGAAACAGAGAAAATAATAAATCACGATAACAAGAGAGAGATGCAAATATTGATATTAATCAGCCCTTGTTGTTTGTCAGCATCTCTAATAAAATAATGAATGATGAAGATTGATATTTTCCTGTGTTGATACAAAGTTCTTGTTTGGCAGTCCCAGGGATTTGTGTTTTAAAAGTTTTTTTGATTTAGCATTGTTTTACAATTCCTTTTCATTAGTATTATTGATGACTCTGACCTAGTAATATTGTCCAACTAGTAGATTTACCTGCATCTCTTTGATGTAAGAGGAAATTAAACTATTGACGTTCTTTCATACAAAAGACCATGTTTTGTGCCATTAGATGGTTATTCAATGTTGTGCCATAAATTAATTGTAGAGTCTTAATGGAACTCCAGCAATACTTCCAACAGCAAAACTTCTTTTACTAGTAGTGTATTCTGAGAACAAATATACCTTCAGGAAATAATGGATTACTAGTTTTCATAAGTTTTTTAATTAAAAGATTAAGATATTGAGCTCATGACCCTGGGAATACTATCAGTAATTACACACGGAATTCAAACTCCTTGTTCGTTATGATTCTGAATGTACTTTCAACTTCATTGTGTGTGTAAAGTTCATTGTGTGTGTAAAGTTTGTCGTGGAACCAAGTAACTTTGTATTAAATAAGACAATTTGTTCAACTTCGGTACTTGTCAAGTAAGACAAATGTAGTACACAGGGGCGGATCCAGGATTCTTTGAAGAGGGGTTGAAAGGACCCCCCTGACCCCCCCCCCCCCCCTTCTAAATCTGCCACTGGTACAGCAATGTAAACTATCATAATGAATAATTATTCTTTAGGACATATATTCTAATTATAGCACTGCAGGATTTGTCAGAGATGATCTACTGGTATACCACTAAATTTTCCTCATTTTCTTTATGTGGTTTTCAGTATTTCATATTTCATTTTGTATTCATAGCTGGACTTGCAGTGGGTCCAAGTGCTGGCAGAAGGTTGGGCCATGCCACTGACAGGGTTCATGAGAGAGAGGGAGTACCTGCAGTGTATGCACTTCAAGTGCTTACTGGATGGTATGTAGAATTGCCGAGTGTGGTTTCACTCCCTTATTTCAACGTTTACCTCATTTATGGTACAACTGATTCTACTTTTTGATTTGTTTATTTATTTATTATTATTTATTTACTTATTTATTGTTTAAATAGTAATTCAGCATTTTGTAATTGATTGGTTCTGTGTAATTTATCTTGATTGTACATCCTAAGAATATTTAGGATTATTTTGCATGAAAAGGAAAATGACATTTGTTTACAAACATATTTGCATTGAGACTTCAGTTTATCAAGCATTTTATATTTTATATCTTAATTGAGCTTATTAATTCTGTAGCCAGTGGCATTTTGTATTTCTGTGTTTACACAATATTAGAAACAATATTCTGTCGTTGTATTCAGGAGGGACCATAAACCAGTCAATTCCAATTGTTTTACCCATCACGACAGAGGACAAGGAGCGCCTGAATGATTGTGCTGCCTTTACGTTACGCTATGAAGGAAAAACTGTGGCCATATTGAGAACACCCGAGTTCTATGAACACAGGAAAGAGGAAAGGTGTTGCCGTCAGTTTGGAACCAACAACACAGGGCATCCATATGTTAAGGTATAGGCAGACAAAGGTTTAAGGTTGTTTGAAAATTATTTTGGACATAGCTCTAACTTGTGTTATTTCATATATTCACCAGAATCTGGAATAATCTAAAGGCTGTTGATATATGTGAACATTTACCAGAAGATGTGTTTTATCATATAAGAGGACTAAAAAATATGTAGCCATGATTATATGCAATTTCTAATTTCAGATGATCCATGAGTCTGGTGATTGGCTGGTTGGTGGTGACCTTGAAGTCGTGGAGAGAATCTTTTGGAAGGATGGCCTGGACCATTATCGTCTTACACCAAATGAACTCCGAGACAAATTTAAGGCTTTGGGGGTGAGGCACCTGAGAATATTTGTATCTTGTCTTGCCTGTATAATTTTTGAAAACATTCAGTTAATGATTTTAGATACTGAAGTATTAACTTTTGATGGTTTGGGGATGGTATATTTGGAAGGTTTTTGATGTCCTTGCATTTGTTTCTAGGCAGATGCAGTGTTTGTGTTCCAACTTCGTAATCCAGTGCACAATGGCCATGCCTTGCTGATGTCTGACACTAAACGTAGACTCCTGGAGAGAGGATTCAAAAACCCAGTGCTCTTGCTCCACCCACTGGGTAAGTTTACATAAGATACCACTTCTTTTGTTATGCTCCCATGATTAAAGGAATACAGCCAGCTTTATTGTCAGTGAAAAGTTACTAGTTTGGCTTGTAATTATTCTATAACTAGGATATTTTTAACACAATTAAACTTTGTTAAAGAGAAAAAGTGATTCCAGATTTTGCATGGAAGCTCATCATGGGAAGAGATTGAATGGATTTTAGTCACCATGACTGAAATTTTAAAAATGATCCAGAAAAAGAGGCTGTTTTAAATGAATGCATGAATGATTAAAGTTAAGTTGACATTAAAGCACAGCATGCTACTGAAAGTACAATCAAAACCAATTTTGTCAAGTATTTTGCCTTCTTCCTCCCCATGTAGACCTACTGTCAAACTGAATGCTTTAATTTCCAGGTGGCTGGACCAAAGATGATGATGTCCCACTACCAATTAGGATGAACCAACACAAAGCTATTCTGAATGAGAGAGTATTGGACCCAGATAGCACTGTGGTGGCCATCTTCCCTTCACCTATGATGTATGCAGGACCCACAGAGGTAAGGGGTCATTTTCCTACAAAGAGAATCACCTAAATAGAGCCACGTTGCTCGATACCACCAATATTAACAGAGCTGCAGAAATCAAACTTGTTGAAAACTTTGAAAATTCTACCCACACTTCTACTGACACTTCTGACCATTTTTATGATGCCTATATTTGTATTATATGTGACTAGCCCCTGACTGTGTTTTTTTTCCTAGGTCCAGTGGCATGCCAAGGCACGCATGTGTACAGGGGCCCACTTCTACATAGTTGGACGTGATCCAGCCGGAATGCCACACCCAGAGGGCGGAGATCTTTATGAGCCAACACATGGGTCAAAGGTAGGAAGTGGCAGTTTTCTGTTGCTTTGAATGTACTAGTATTTATATCAGATCCTGAAGAGTTTTCTGTCTGGGAGTTTCATTGGATATACTTGTTTTAATGATGGAAGAAATATTTAGCCATGTTTTTTTACAATTCTCACAAATTAGAAACTATTTAAAATATTTAAGACTGTGTAATGGCTGTCATTGTTTCATCGTTGATTACTTTAGCATACATCACTATATCTTTTAAGTCACTTTCAGCTTTCTGTAAAACAACTCTTTTCTTGTGTACCTCTGCTTTTAATCATATCTTCTTTCTTCATTTAGGTTCTGACTATGGCTCCTGGTCTGACCCAGTTTGAAATAATCCCATTCCGTGTAGCAGCCTACAACAAAAAGCTTCAAAAGATGGACTTTTATGACCCGGAAAAGAAAGAGGACTTTGAGTTCATTTCAGGGACCAAGATGCGCAAGCTGGCACGTGAAGGAGAAAATCCACCAAAAGGTTTCATGGCACCATCAGCATGGAAGGTGATGAGTGACTTCTACCAGTCACAGGCCAAGAAGTCTTGATTCCACACCTGAACACATAGGAAAAGAGGATTTCTTACTTTAGTTTGTTTAAATACTTCAGGCAGCCCCTTAGTGACTAATAATTCAATTGATTTACTTAAGTTTGCTAAAATAGCCTGTGCTATCGAGTCCCATTCTCAAAAGTAAAATAGTAGAACTGGCAAAAATCATTTTTATGTCTGTAAAAAAGATTTTTAAAAATACCTACACCAAACAATTTACAATGTAGTTGTTAGTTAGGTTCATTTTATAAAAATATTTGAACCAATGACCTCAGAAAAAAAGACATTGCTCCTAACTAACATGCTGCCAAATCATTCTGTGCCAGTAGGGGATTTACAAAACAATGTTTAAATAAATCTTACCTGCCACTTATTATTACTATTATTATCTTCTCTATTATAGGTAAGGTGATATATTTAGACTTTCTTTTTATTATCCGCTCTGATATCTGATCAAGACACTATTTGTGAAGTAGTGATTGAAGTCATTTTTGTGATGTATACAAATTTTATTCTCTGAAATATTTATTTAATCATGGGTTAATCATGGAGCACAAGATGAAGTAAAATGATAACAGAAAATACCTCTATATTCAAAATTTGCCCTTGAAGACTAGTCTGGAGTGTTAGAACACACTGGCGAGATTTACCATTATTTCAGAAATAATATACTCCTGGATCTTTAATGGCTTTTGCTTTGTTAAATGACGTAAACCATGCTGTTCTTATCATTACATTAACCAAGTAGAGCATCTTAAATGCCACAATGTTTTCAAATATAGATAAATGTTTTTCAGTGGAACCAATAGCACTAGTCTTGTAAATATTTGTTATATACAGGAAATTGGGAAGTTGNACCTCAAGGCAGCACAAAGGTAACTGTAGAGCATCAGTGTGATTTTGACATAAGATGATATGCCAGTTTTACATCTATGAAATGCCAAACCTCATCTTTACTTGTTGGACAGTTTGGTCAGCTTAGCTTTGTAATTTCAACAGAAATATAGAAGTTCTATTTCTAATATTGTACCAAACAGCTTTAAAAAGTCAGTCACATATTTTAGAGATAGAAGAATAGTAAATGATTTGATTGTCATGTATAAAAAAAAAATTGAATAGCATTACCAGATCAGACTGGCAAACTTTCTGGCAAACAAGGCTATTTACAGTTGTGTGTAGAAATAAAACTGAGTCTTTCCTCACATTTTGGTATTTTTTTCCAAAAAAAATAATGTCATTCTTTTCAAGGAAAGAGAAAAGTGTTAGGTGTGGTGGACCAGAACGCTTCTCCCTCAGACCAGGACAGGTACAACAGTGACAACCAGACATTGACACTACAGGTGAGATCATTAACACTGCAGGTGAGGTCACTGACACTACAGGTGAGGTCACTGACACTACAGGTGAGGTCACTGACACTACAGGTGAGGTCATTAACATTACAGTCAACAAACAGTTTGGGATCTGAGATAACAGAAAAACTAGTATGCCCAGTCTGTTTTATGAATAATAAGTAATATTATTGGCCTACAACAAAAATTGGTTGCCTGCCTATCTCTCCCCAAGGGTCCTGAATCACATCAGGTTTCCTTTATGCTGTTTGGTGACCAGACTGCACCTTTTGAGATCAATGAAATAAACCCTCTTCTCTCAGGTGGAAGCTCTGCAGGCGCAGCTAGAGGAGCAGACACGACTGGCTAAAGACCATGTGGACGGTCTTCTGGAGGACAGGAGAGTGAAGATAGAAGAATATGAGGCCAGGAGACAGAGAGATCATGATAAAATACAGACTTTGCTGGAAAAGTGAGTTTATGCCTGAGAGAGAGAGAGAGAGAGAGAGAGAGAGAGAGAGAGATAGAGAAGCTATTATGGTCATATCTTTACGTCCTAAAATTATTTATTTTTCTTATTTTTTCTTGATATTTTTTTTTCAGATTAACAAAAACCCAAGATTTACTGTATGACAGCACAAAAGACTTTCTAGAACTCCGTTATGAAGGCAGAGCCAATGAACGCCGCTGGATGGCAGAGAAGGACCAGTTTCTTAGAGAGCTTGATGTCTGCAAACAGCAGCTGAACATCAGCAGGGACAAAGTGCTCAATGTCTCGGATGAGGCTTTGGATGCCAAACAGAAGAGAGAGGTGGAGGTGGAGGTACATGGGCTGGGATATGATCAGGAATCTAGTAAACATAGCATGCAGACATTACATTATATCATATGTTAAGAAACCAACTGATACTTTTGTTGTTGTTGTTGATGTTGTTTGTGAACTGTTAATAAAACCAGTATCAAACCTGATATATGTGATTATCTGCTTACTTGTGAAATACATTGTCTTGATACATTAACTTGGAGCAGGCAGTGAAGACTTTATTAATATAGTTATCTTATATGATAACTTAATGTTTTGTCCTGTACCTTACCAGGCATTGCAGTATGACTTGGAGCAGGCAGTGAAGACTTTATTAATATAGTTATCTTATATAATAACTTAATGTTTTGTCTTGTACCATACCAGGCTCTGCAGTATGACTTGGAGCAGGCTGTGAAGACTTTATTAATATAGTTATCTTATATAATAACTTAATGTTTTGTCTTGTACCATACCAGGCATTGCAGTATGACTTGGAGCAGGCTGTGAAGACTTAATTGATATGGTTATATTATATAATAACCTAATATTTTGTACCTTACCAGGCTCTGCAGTATGACTTGGAGCAGGCAGTGAAGATGTCAGATATGTACAGGGAGCAGGTGATACAGCTAGAGGACGAGAGAGCAAGGATACGAGAGGAAGGAGATGTCAGCAAAGATATATTTAAGGTTAGTGGTCATACGAGGGCATAACATTAAATTTGTTTTATTATTTACAGAAATATTCATATTGCTTGTTAACTGAACCTTTATAAATTGCCAATAAAAAAGAAAAAATATTTGACGATTAAAAAGGCACTGATGTTTTGATTTTAGTAGGACAAGTAGTATTGTGGCTTTATAGTGACATAGATTAAAAAAATATTTGAATGCAAAAAAAACTGAGCTTCAAATGTTTGACAGAATATAGTTCTTTAGAATGATTTCAAAAACAATTTGAATAACAAGGTTAAAAAACACACCTGCTAAAGTTCTTTACACATTGAAGGGGCGATAATAAAAAATGAGCTTCATTCACTGATGAATGCCAGGTATCAGGAGCTGGAGTATGACTATTGATATAGTTTTCTTTGTTCACTGTAGGAGAGGACAGACAAGATGAGCCGTAGACTACAGCTGATGAATGCCAGGTATCGGGAGCTGGAGTATAACTATTAATATAATTTTCTTTGTTCACTGTAGGAGAGGACAGACAAGATGAGCCGCAGACTACAGCTGATGAATGCCAGGTATCAGGAGCTGGAGAAGAGGAGAAATCTGGAGGTGGAAGGGTTTAAGAATGATATCAAAATGCTCAGAGCCAAACTGAAAGAGATGGAAAAACAACTGTACAAGGTGAGATCACAGGAGGTTAGTCCAGTTACTCACTTTGGTATGATATTACTCTAAGTAATTAACTCACTTTGGTATGATATTACTCTAAGTAATTAACTCATTTTGATATGATATTACTCTAAGTAATTAACTCACTTTGATATGATATTACTCTAAGTAATTAACTCATTTTGATATGATATTACTCTAAGTAATTAACTCATTTTGATATGATATTACTCTAAGTAATTAACTCATTTTGATATGATATTACTCTAAGTAATTAACTCATTTTGATATGATATTACTCTAAGTAATTAACTCACTTTGATATGATATTACTCTAAGTAATTAACTCATTTTGATATGATATTACTCTAAGTAATTAACTCACTTTGATATGATATTACTCTAAGTAATTAACTCATTTTGATATGATATTACTCTAAGTAATTAACTCACTTTGATATGATATTACTCTAAGTAATTAACTCATTTTGATATGATATTACTCTAAGTAATTAACTCATTTTGATATGATATTAGGGTTATCAAATTAGCATTGAGTATTCACAAAGAGAGCATTTTTTTACCAGAGCTTTAGAGTCTGATGCAAATGATTTAACACCAAAGCTTTTGAGTCTGATTCTGGATATTTAACAAGAAATTGTCTATTTTTCCCACAGTTGTGGGCTAAGTGTAATATATTTCTGCAATTTTAATAAATACAATTTCGATACAGATTATCTTGGAATATTTTATAAATTACCAATATTTCTAGGTAACTGTTGGTCTTGGTGAGGGTCTAGAGGAGCAACGGCCAGATGATCTGGACTTGGTCATTCTGAGGAATATTTTATAAATTACCAATATTTCTAGGTAACTGTTGGTCTTGGTGAGGGTCTAGAGGAGCAACGGCCAGATGATCTGGACTTGGTCATTCTGAGGAATATTTTATAAATTACCAATATTTCTAGGTAACTGTTGGTCTTGGTGAGGGTCTAGAGGAGCAGCGACCAGATGATCTAGACTTGGTCATTCTGAGGAATGTCCGGCGGACGGCGGGCAGATCCAAGAAACTGATGGATGAACTGAAGCAGTTGAAGAGTAAAGTATATGGAATGGAAAATGATCTGAAGCATCTGTAGCAGTGACAGAGGATGCAGAATAAAAGCTGGTTTCTTCAAATAGTCCATTATGAGGGAGATGTTTTAAAAACATTGAATGCTAAAGGGAAATATGACAGATTTCTGCAGTTTGTGAAAAATTTCAGGAGTTGATTAAATATCTTACTGTAGACTGAGTTGGAATGTAGAACTGCTTCAGAAGAAGTAGCATGTAAAATACTCAACTTTGCATATGGTGTATTGATTTGTGAATTATGTCTGTTAGTCAAAATGTAGAATAAGAATTTGATAACATAGTTTGATTGGATTATCACAGAAAAAATTTTTTGATAATCTGTTTTATGTGTTTTAAGGTAGATTTATCTGTAATCCTAAGAAGAAAATAAATTCTTCTTGTATTCATTTTGAGCAGCTTTAATAAATATTTCAATCATCTTTCAAGTATTTTTTCCAAAAAGTTGCCTGTTAAAGTTACTGTATGGGAAGGGCAGACAAACATTTACATAGATCATAAAATGAGCAGATAAAATTTACTATTTTTAAACTTTTGGCAAAAATTTTTAGAAACACTAGCAACAGGATTTCAAACTTTTTTCTTTTTAAAGCATATCTTATCTAGTTTTTCTTTGTATCTTACTTTCCCCGTACTGCTGTACTACAACCACGGAATGTGATGGTGTAATCCCCAGAGCAACCCCATCAGTGTCAAAACCTATGCAATATGCTTATGCACACACGCACACACACACGCACACACACAAACACGCACACACACGCACACAGACACACACACATACACACACACACGCACACAGACACACACATTAGTACTTTGTGTACTTTTGTACACACATTAGTACTTTTGGAGTCTGCTAAGTATATAAACTTCTGCTATAAGGGAAGGTTCTCTGACTACATTTCAACACACCTACATTTCACTTGCGTCTCACAAATCAGGAAATCTCAAAACTCGTAGAACCTTCATAGCCTATAAATGATCAGTACTTTTGTAGTATCTCTACCCACATCCAAAACTTAAATTTTCAATGTTTATCAAAATTTAGTAAGTTATTTATATTTTTTTAACTTTGACCATGTGATTATGCCATTTTTTCACACCTGCTGTGGCTTTAGTTCTGAAATTTGGATAGGCCTGAAATTTCTTGTATAAACATTTTTTTAAAATAATGGTGAAAACCTAACTCTTTAATTTTTTATAGACAAAACATCTCAATTTTTAGTCACCACGTGACTGAATTTAAAAAAGATATTTTAAAAAAAAATCAATGACTTTAAGTGCTAAATGATCCAGCAAAAGAAAAAACAAAGGGGAATTTTTTTCTTTTTTTTTTTTCGTTAGGAAACGTCTCTTGATTTTTTTACAAATGAATATTGATTTTATTCAATGGAAACTTTCAAAAAAGTATAGATATGGATGAAAGTTACGTATTAATGTTAAATTGCTTATTTCCCAAAACTTTCCGGTCTATAAACCTCGTTATAAAATTATGGAGTGTCGGGGCGTCCTCTCCAAGTTTGCCGCGCTAACAGGGAGAGCGGCTCGTCTTGGCAAGTCAATTAACGGCTGCGTAGACGAGCACTTCCGTAATCAGGTAAGATATTTAATTTTACAACCAATATTAGTCGCTATTGTCATAACTTGGGATATTGAGCATTTACCATCTTCATATTTGTGGGCATTTTCACGCGTTCAAGTGTTTTTAAGTGAAGCTGCGCTACATGCAAATGCCTGCATAGGGCTGGTCGAGCAAATGAGGAAATGCAGAGAATAAACTGTGATCTCACTCCGGTTACTCTCAGAAACGTTCTCCTGAGCAGACTTTGAAAGTCAGCATTGATATAACCTACATTCCTTTTCTTTGTCATGACAGTGAGCTGTCGTCATATGTAAGTGTCTGTCTCCCGCGTGGTTTCTTGTGATTGGAGCCGACAAATGCAAGCTCTGTCACATGTATTTTTAGACAATAACACGTCATCGCACTTTAAGATCAAATAAATCTATATAATTGTCATCCAGTACATTCTGCATTCGTTTGAAAATATTTTCATTGTTTGGCTTTGCCGCTACTTAATTGAGAATAAGCAGTAAGTAATAATTACTAATTTAACTGTTTAGATATCTGTCTAACTTTATAATATCCCACTCCTACTTAAATTTTAAAGACGTGGGAGAAACCGAGGTTGTGATTAATAAGCATTATGGTAATTTCATGTAAACTATATATAATCAGTGTTTGAGATTTTTAAAGTTTTGGATACAGTGTTTGAGTGAAAAGCTTAACTGATATTTATTAGCATTGTGGAAATAAGAAGTTTTTTAAATATGTTTTAAGGGCCATTCAGAACGAGAAGAGTCGTGTGCTAGGTGGTCCACGGCCTAAATATGGCAGACCTATATGAAAGGAAGATCGCTTAATCCTGTAATGGTCTCTATGCCTCCCCACATGTCGTCCTATGACCGGTCGCATTGAGGCAAGATTTAATTACTGTGCCCCTGCAGGGACAACGTGTTGGGAGGCGTGAAAGAGGCAGAGAGACTATTACAGGATTAAGCAGTCTTCCTTTCATGTAGATCCTCCATATTTAGGCCTTGGACCCGCTAGCACTGGGCTTTTCTCATATTGAATGGGCCTTAGTTGTTTTATATTGCTATGTGAAAGATTTTAAAATGCCATTGTATTCCTAATGTCTGAGGGTGATTCAATGTCACATATTATCAGGGAAAGTTCCTTGATAATGTCCTACATATTTAAACTGAATGATACTGTGGAATGACATAGGGTCTATGTAACATGAGATAATCCTTCAAGATATTTGAAATTATATGAATACATACTTGGAAAGATTATCAAATCATATAGTATTTGATATCATGGTATTTACCAAAGATTAAGTTATCAAATGAGACAACTCACTGTACAGGTTTATGTACAAGGAAAAAGACACACTTTTCAATGGCTGGTGAAAAATATCTTTAATGCACTCTCACTGCAAGCTATAATATTCCTGAAGAATAAAGGCTTGAGTAGAGGTGAAGGATGAATCTATTTACAATAAAAGGTAATGGTTCAAAAGGAGACCAAAATCGAATGTGAGAAAACTGTAGGGTTTTAGGTTCTCATCCAACCATTTGATATCATAAAGCATGTACAATTGAAATACCTTATACAAGATGAAAGCAATCTTAATATATCTTTATTGTATTTATTTTAGCAGAGATGAGTTTCCAGTGGACATTTATAGCAACATTTCTCTATGTGGAGATCTTCCTAGTGGTGCTCTTGTTACTGCCCTTTATTTCACCAACGACGTAAGTAGAACAGTGTGTGTGTGTGTGTGTGTGTGTGTGTGTGTGTGTGTGTGTGTGTGTGCAAACATTGGTGCGTGTGTCTGCATGTACAGTACTTGTGTGCATGTGTTTATATTGTGTGTTGTTTTTCACCACATGCCATTGTTTCAGAAATTAAACTTTCTCAAGAGCAACATACATCTGTCATTTTATATAAATATTGTAAAAACCCTTAGTAATAAAATGATAGTTTCTAAGAATGGAATTATACATGAAACAGATAGTTGGTTGTTATTTCATCAACATCTTCAATGTGGAGAGCCATTGGTCTTATATCCTACATAAATCAGATATCCACAAATATTTATTTGTTATTAGTATAAATTTAAAAAAAGCTGTTTTAGCTTATTTTGCCAAGATATTATTGATGTTGTAAAGAGCATATATTATTTGATTAATGAAAAGAAATGAGGGACTGACATTTTCAACGTCATGTAGGGACAGGCATATGTAATTTTACAGTTTATCATTTATGTTTTTGAGCATGTGCCTCCATGAAGATACTATAAAATAATTGTATGTAATAAAATGTAAAGATAAAGTGGAGGAAGATGATAGATAAGTAAGAACAGGAGAAATCTAGATGGATACTAGTAAAAGGGTGAAGAGTGAAGAATGAGTTAGTAGTTATCAGTTATACCAGGTATACCAGCAGTATCTATCTTGGTAATGGACCTGCTGTGCTCTCAGTGTAAACAGAGCAATATTGAGTTTACTAATTATTAAATACACAGCTGTATGTGTTTGTGTTGTCTGTACATATTATATATGCCATATTACAGTGTATGAAATTCAAGGAAATTACTAGCCAGACCGCCGGGCAGGTAACTNGCTATCAATAAATAGTGCTTGTAATTTATCACCATGCCCTTGAAATTTATGATATTAATAATCTGAGAGTTAAAAGAAATTGTGCAATGTGGTGGAATTTGATAAAAATGATAATGGTAATACTGTGCCACATGAACCTATAAGAGGACAACCCAGACTTTGATCATAATCTAATAGAAATTAAATAATAATTAAGTGATAAAATAACAGCACATGTGCACATTAACAATACATTAATATTGTAACTTGTATAACTTGTATTGGATGTTTTGTAATCTGAATTCAAGTTGATAAAGAGTAACTAATAAACAAGAACACTATCTATAAGTTATCATAATGATAATAAAAAATTAATGTAATCATATTTGATCTCGTAATTGAACCTCACCTTTCCAGCACTTTAAATGTTGGATCATAATACACATTGGTCACATCTTGAAAATAAGATTGATTTCATCAGGCAAAGTTTGAGATTTATAAATGGTCCTTATTTAACCTGTTGGGCTTCTTTTTCTTTCTAAGACAGTCATGCTTTGCAGAAGCAAGATTTATACATTGTTTGAATTGCTTTTCTGAGTGCTGTGTTTTTTCCATACAATATGATGGCATCCATTGTTCGTGAGAGCTGAAAAAGTAACGAGGTAACAATGTGTGCTTCTGGGCCAATGGATATGAGGTTCAGCACAAGACTGGGAGTGAGGTTGCAAATGAAACTGTTCAGCATCAAGAGAAACATGGTCTTGGTAAGCTGAAGTTCAGTTTTAGCAAGAAATGACGGTTGCTGCTGCTGCGGCTGCAAGTTCTCTGTTGAAGTTGTAGGATTCTGCACTGGACCAACTTTTTCCTTCAATTTTTTCATCTTATAGATAATTATGCCATCACAAACCAACATGATGACTGATGCTGCTACATATAAGACCATAAAGAAAGCCATTGAATTACAGTGATTTTTTCTGTTATCATACATACATAATAAGCTCTCTGTGTTGTAACGTATAAGCTTGCGCCTGCACACAAAAGCTGTTTGAATTATGAAAAGCACAGGCAACAACCATGCCAAAGCAATTAGTCCCCCTATGCATCTTGATGATTTCAATTTATTTGCCATTGCATCACCTGGTTTGCTGGAAATGACAATACAACGCTGAAATCCAATAAGAGCCAATAGCAAAGCAGATGTCGTGAGCAGGGGCAGCTTGACGTAGAAAGAAAAGGTACAGAGTCTCTGTCCTATGTCCCAGTCTGGAATGGTAAATGCCAGAAATTGTGGAAATGTCTCCAGGAAAGATACCAAGGAGTTGTTGATGGTGAGACTGCAGATGAGGATGTAGTGAGCAGACTTGTGGAACTTTGGGATATGCAGTATGGCTGCCACAATCGATGTATTGCCCACAGCTCCCAAAATTACAAAGATTCCCTTCAGCATGAGGATTACAACACGGAGTGGAACTGAGACACTTTCCATAGCCAAAGTTTGTGTGCCATTCTCTAGAAGTTCTGTCTGATTTCCTGACTCATTGATGAAAGAAAAGTCTTCAAAGGATTCTAGATGCGTCCTGTTATAATTGTCTAGCATCATTTTCTCTTGTGCTATCTTCTGGCTTGCTAGTTCTCTGATTTACAGAAACTGCAGTGATGTTCACACCCTATCAAGTGAAGCTGCATCTTTGGTTGCTGCAACTAAATACCCAGCAGGGCGTCTGCTCCACTAATGAATACCTGTCGTCACCTACATTGTATTTTCAGTTGACCAATTGAAGACCTTCTTTTTCATACAAGAGGAGTCAATCATGATCAACTACGTGCAGTGCAGAAGTATGCTTTTGTTGAATTAGTTTCTAAGGTTAGACATTGTTAACATCCAAGATACATGAGCATGAAGAAAAAGGTAGAAGTACATGCATTCAATAATTTTATAACACAAAAAAACCCACAACGTGACTATAAAACACTGCTGTTGTGCATGTATCAAAAAAAAAAAA